AATGCACAATTCCGACTTTATTCCTCACATTTTTAGTTTATTTCATAACAGAATTGCAAGACTTACGGTAGTAAATTCTGAGGAAAAAGTCAGAATTGCAAGGTGTTCATTGAAAACTGAGAGATAAAAGAAAAACATTTTGAGAAATAAAGTTGGTCAGAATTGTGTGTTATAAAGTCACAATTTTAAGAAAAAAGTCTGAATTGTGACAAACTCTCAAAATTTCGAGATATAAAGTCAGAACTGTGATATGAAACTCACAATTACCTTTTATTTCTTATGTTGTGGCTCTAAAAGTGTTTTTGTGAGGAAATCTATATTTCTATATCACAGTGTATTTGTCTAATTTCAAGCATTTAAGCACGAGCCTTGGATAAAACAAACATAAATTCACCTAGGAATTGTCCAAACTCTGCATTGCTATGCACAATGTGAATATTGTTATTTACACTAGCTTTATCAAATGGAGCCCAACCCAAAACAACCAAATTACATTATAATTGTAATTCTTTTCTAAATTCATTTCTTTTATGCAAAACTTTGTAAGCTGCACGCCTCACTGACGCAGACTGATGGAGCTCCCACGCTCACAGAAGTGATGTTCCCTCTCTAAGCACTTGAGCTCTCACTTCTGTTCGCGTTCACATTCAAGCTGGTCGTTGATCCCGGAAAACTGCCGTCAAATTGCCAGAGAATCGTCTGTGAGTAAAAATGCCGGATTCGAATTCGATTCCGGTGTTGTGTGTGAACTTGACGGTCAATGTCATCAAAGCGGATTCCGTGTGTCGTTCAGTGATGACGTTCGCTATCGCTCTGGGGAAAGAGATGAAAATAGTAGGCTATTAGTAGAAACGAAAATAGTAATAACAACAACAGCAACAATAAAGTTGCATTTCCTCTAAAGCAAATTTCAAGGAGCAGAACAGCAGTTTTGTCCGTTGTAGGGATTTTTTTATTATTAATTTGAGCGTTTTATTATATCCCTCATTTCCTTACTTCCTTCTTTTTCCATGTGTCCTTTTTGTTGCTCACTATTTAAAAGGTGTTCAAAATTGTTTAGTTATACTGTGTCAGCTTTAAAACACCTGCAGATCATCCTAAACACCTCCAGGGGGCGAAACCAGAATTCTGATTATCTGAATCCATGTTCAGTCTCGAATAACTTTAAGATATAATATTATACACTGCGGTTTTGATGGATATACTGTTCTATTAGCAGTTAGTCTGATAGGACTTTATTTCTATAATCTTATTTGCTAATGTTGGGTTTGTTTTGGATTGAATTGTTTGACTTCTAAGCTACTCCTTTAGTGTGTGACAGCACTCTCACACTTTGTCTTTGGATTTGTCTTAAAGGGGTCATATGATGCGATTTCATTTTTTCCTTTCTCTTTAGAGTGTTACAAGCTCTTGGTGCATAAAGAAGATCTGTATGTTTTGGATTGAATTGTTTGACTTCTAAGCTACTCGTTTAGTGTGTGACAGCACTCTCACACTTTGTCTTTGGATTTGTCTTAAAACCTGTATATGCTCACAGAAAAATGCCTGAAAAAGCTTATTGACTCACTGCTTCCTTTTTACCTCTACCACAGTAATTCTCAAATCCTGCTTCTAGGGGCCCTGCGAGGCACGGCACACTGAGATGCCTTCCTCCTTTAACGCATCTAATTCAACTCATCATCTCATTATTAGAGGCTTCATGACCTGAATTGTGTGTAAGATTAGTGAGACTCCTAATATGTGCAGTGCTACGGGGCCCCTGGGAGCTGGATTGAGAAACACTAATCTAACACTATTTGAGTTGAAATTGCTCTTACACAAGACCTTACAAATGCTGATAACAACACAACAAGTATTAGTTTATTTTAGCTAGTTTGCTATATTTTTTTAAACAAAAATTATTATTTTGTGTAAAAATGTCAGAAAAAAAAACGTCAGTGTTTTATATGCAGATATGACACTGTGGAGCTGCAGGCAGATGACAAGAAGTGCAAAATATATATATTGCATACTAGAACTCCAAAACTCTTAAGATTTTAAACCTGTTCTGCTTTTTATATTTATTTTGCTAAAGGATGCAATATATTTTGTCAAGATGTTGATATTTGTATTTTATATATTTCTTTATATATATATATTATTATTATTTTTTTTATTAAATCTGTTTATTGAACTTTTACAATAACATCAGGATACAGATACAGGAGAATCATGAAACATATTCCCCCCACCCTACCCCCCTAAATATTTATTTATATTTTTTTATATATTTATTAATATTTATTTATGTTTTAAATGGTGCTTGTCTTCTTTATTAAGTCTTGTATTTCTTCTTCTTTTTAATACATCACGCATACTGCAAAAATATACCTATAAACCAGCAAACTTAGCATCTGGCTGTGTACAAAAACAACAAGACGCAAACAAACAAACAAACATAAATAATTTTATAGAAGAAAAAACATCCTAAAAGTATTTTCAGTTTATTTTCCATATATTTATTTGATCATAGCTGTGAAATATTGTTTTTTCTTTCTTTTCTTTCTGAATTACCGTAGTACCTCCGGGCCACCTAGTGAGCTGTAGTAAATTACACCTGTCATGAATCTGACAAAATCCTTAATATTACCATTAATTGGTATTTCTCATGGCAACATTATAACCAGTGGTGGAAATGGCCAAAATTCACTGGGGGGACTCTAGCTGGGAGGGGAGAGGGGTTATTTTAGATGAACTTTCAGATGTATTTAATTATAAAAGCCTTTATAATCTATAATAGCATTAAACTTTTTTCATGTTTCCTATGAACCATATGTTTTCTTGGGTATCAAGACAGGTACATTGCAGGTCAATGAAAAATGTCCATTAATTATGTGGGGTATAAACATTCATTCAACAGAATCTCTGCTTGGAGATAATTACCTGTGCAATTCTGGCCAAATTAAAGATACATTGTGTAGGAATCTGCACATGTGATAATGTAAGCATTATTAATTAATGACCCCTTGTATTTAATAAAAAATAAAGAATGAGCACTTGTGCTATTAATTAAAAAATTTTAGGAGATCAATGACAAAAAATAACCTTCCCATTATGAGGTGATATTTGACTCCTTAAAATGATTTGCAGGGGCATCTTTGTAATGGCATTTCCCCCCCACCCTTTTAACCTTCTTAAATGTCACCTTTTATGTAAAAATCATAAATTTGTATTATAAACATTTTTTTTTTTTAATTAATGAAAACAATAAACAATTAGAATAATCAGGAACAATCAGGAAGAATAAGTTATACCAATCAAATGAAATCAACAAAATTCATCTTTGCACTACAGAGGTGGCACAGAAGAACACAAAAGTGGCATTTAGGTATATTTAGACTGTTTAAGGAGGATGAGTTTAATGTTTAAATATAAAGTTTTGAATACAGAAATACCAAATGATTTAAATGACTGAAATTATTCTTTAAAAATTAAACTAAAACCGCCAGTTGGTGGCGGTAAGTCACTGTCTTTGTCACTGAATCATTCATTCAATCGATTCGTTCAAAAACGCAGATTCACTCATAAACGAAACACCGCTGTGTAATGGAGATGTGCAGTGGATCAGCTGTGACTTTTGACACTGTAATGCTGCTTTTACACAATCAGCATTGTATAAAGGGCTATACAAATAAAGGTGACTTGACTTGACTTTGATTGATCAGATATCATTAATATCATGATTGATTTTCGTTGACAAACAGAGCAAAAACAGTGTAAGTAACTTAATATTAAATTCTTTACTGAACTGTTGTATAGCCTAATATCAGTATCACATTTGTAAACTCTTTTTATAATTAGCCTATTAAAAAGCTGTCACTAATGCAGTTCATCCCGATCTCACAAACTTCTGTTATAATCAATGATAATCTGTTATAATAAGCACAGCTGATAACTCAGCACTGAACAAATTATGAACACAGCTTTGTCCATATCAAATTTTCTGTTATCGAATCTGTAAGATTTTGTGCAAAAATCACGGTTCACCCCAGATAATTATCCTGAAGCAGTCTGCTTTCACGGTCTGTGCTGTGAGGAGCAGAACGCGCACCGATAGAGAAGCATTTCCATTGGCTGCAGTCTGCACTCTGCAGGTATTATGGCAAAAGCAAGACGGCTTTGCTCAGCTAACCATAGACACAAATATCCCGCTGCGTTTTTATTATAATATATTGCACTTAAGCGCGGAACTCAGATCGCTTTTGTAGGCTATTGAATGGATAAAATGTAGAAATCCCTTTCATTAAAAAAAATAAAAAAATAAAAATCTAATCAGTTGGAACTGGAACGCCGTCCCCCTCGAAATACACTCCCCGGCCCCCCCATTTCCCATTTCCAGCCCTAGAAACTCTTTTTACTGGTTATGTAAACGGTGCTTTATAACCCTCCAAAAACGCTCCATAATGAAAGTCAATGTTTATGATCAGTCATGGGCGGCCCATGTTGTCAGCTTTTAATAGTTTCTTATGAGGCACAGAATAATCATCCCGCAGGGGGCGCATGGTGGCTCAGAAAGCCAATTCTTTCACTGAAGCCACTTCAACTCTCACCTCGTTTTTGTCTTATTGGAAACACTTGTACACCAATAGATGTAATCGATTAAATCTGTTACATACAAGGATTTGGGTTTTATCAGGAAAATTGATATCTACCTCATCAATATCTATAAAATGTATTTAATAAATCGTTGTTTAGTAATCTGTGATTGGTTAATCCCAACCAGCGCTGAGAAAAGTAACAGGGAGCATGTGACTACGCTGCTCGCTTCAGACGCAATTGATGATAAATTACGTCTGAAAAAATAACAGATACATTTTTTATTAGATTTAAATAAAAAAACATTAAACAAAAAGTTAAAATAAGGTAATTATGTTTTCAAACCCACCCAAACCACGCCCATCTTCTAAACCTTTTCATGCTAATTGTCATTCCACCCGCTTATTCTATTTCTATGGCTCAAGTGAGAGTCAGTCAAAGCACTGATCCAAAGCATCAGAAGAGAAAAAGACGTGAGGAAATAAACAGTTGTGCATCAGAAAGAGACTATCATGGCATCGTTAAATCTCGGGTTCAACGGGGCTCGTAAAAAAGCTGTAGCGCGTATCAGAGCCGTAGAGAGGAGGAATCTGATCACCGTTTGCAGGTAAAATCTGATTACACATGCATCATCATTGCAGCACACCGGCGCACGGGACATGTGTGATGATGTCATTGTTATTTTGTTTAGCAAGTTAGGTTTTTTTGCGTGTAAATTGCTGATGCTGGAACAGGGGAGATGAGATGATGTACGTGCACCGCGCACAGAAGCGCTGGTCTGAGATCTGTCACCAGAGCATCACGTCATGTAGATGGAGTCCTAAGAAAAAGTACAGTGGTGATATCTACTGAATGATTCGTGCAACATGGCATATACATTGTGTTCCAAGGTACTTCAAAGAATGCATGTCAAAAATGTTGTTTTTTCATTACGTTAAAAAAAAAAAAAAAAAAAAAAAGCAGGG